CCGGTCTGGTCCGTCCACAGTTTTAAGGACCGGTTTTCAGGACCGCGGACGGACCGGACTGGACTTACACATCCCTAATCAAGGGACATGCTGACGATCATATTTCGTCGAAAGCGGGTATTAAGAGAGGTTGGAACCTTAACCGGGGTTACACCGTGAATTGTACCGAAACCAAGGTAACAGGCAAACGATACAATGTCCCGAAGGCCTTTCCCAAGGTATATATCGACAAATAAACGATTTATTACGATTCAATTTTTAGTTAGTTATCACAAGTCTATATGAGGACAAGCGTAATGTAATATTTTATTTAACAATAGAGCCCATAAGTTCTACCACCAAGACTTATTACAAAACTCTTTTTAGTCAAATTACAGGTCTATATGTACTGAATACTATACTACGCATATATAATAGTGTTGCGATCAGTGTATATTTATAAACGAATGTAATAGCAGAAGGATTTTTAATTATGTAATAAAGAAGCAATAACTATTCAATAAAAAAATTATATATATCAGTCGTCGTCTTCAGATTAAATGTCGAATTACTACGGCTAAAAATCTGGAATACCGGGGAATTTTTATTTTATGAAAAAACTGTCTTTTCTAACCCAAACATCAATCCCACCTTTTTATACACTAATTTTGAAAGGACAGCTCGCCCTGCCCAGGCCTATGCTGATCTTCAAATCTCAGATCAGTTCATGCAAATCACTAACTTTATTAAGCAAACAATACGATCAGGTCACTAACGATTAATATATCACGTGCGTAATGATTAACTACTTATTGTAAACAATAGTAAATGAAAATAATATAAATAAAATGATGCATTAATAAAATAAAAGTAAAGTTGATTTCTATAACAATCGTCGCAGTACTGCGGCTTAATTTTGACGCAAATTTTTCGGGTTTAACGATAATCCTAAATTAACAGAACTAGGATAACAATGTAACGTAACATAACTTGTAATAATTAATAACAAATCATAATTAACGTTTCGGTCAGATATTTAACGAATCGACCAATTAATTTTATTATGCGACTTTGATGTTTTACGTGACGTGACAGCACACCATGTCATATTAACAAAACTAATTATATTTATTTCTCATGTATGAAAATTTTTTACCTAAAGATTTGCCTATAACATTGAGGAATCCCACTTTTTATTTCATAACTTTAAATTACCGACGTTGGATTCCAAATTTAATTTGTAAATATACAATAAAGTCAATAGATAAATGATTTATTTTTTACATTGTGGAATTAAAGGGTTCACAAAAAAATTATTTCATTTGTTTTCTGGACGGAGACTTCGTACAACTTTACCAGCACTCCATAGTTCACTTTCGCTAATTTCTTTTAATTCTTTTTCTAATTCTTCACGATATGTTGGTAAAGAATTTTTTTCCAAAACTCTTCGAGTTTCAGTTCCATTAGCAACAGAAACATATAATTTTTCGAAAACTGGTTTGACAGCGTCATGGAATGGTTTATACCAATCGAGAGCGCCACGTTGTGCAGTAGTTGAACAAGCGGCATACATCCTTTAATTATATAAGTTAGTCATATTAAAAAATAATAGAAACAAAAAATAATACATTTGAAAATATAATATTTACCAATCCATTCCGTTTGCGCCAATTAATGGATACAACGATTGTGTTGACTCTTCTACAGTTTCGTTAAACGCTTCGGAAGGTGTATGTCCACGTGCTCGCAAAACTTCATATTGAGCAAGGAATAAACCTTGAATTGCACCCATAAGCACACCTCGTTCACCAACAAGATCAGAAAAGACTTCTCTTTCAAAAGTTGTTTCATATAGGTAACCTGAACCAATAGCAACACCAAGAGCTACAGCCTTATCTTTGGCTTTACCAGTAAAATCTTGGAAAACTGCAATAGAAGAATTTATGCCACGTCCATCGAGGAAGAGAGTACGAACGGTTTTTCCCGATCTAATTTACACCGAATCCAACAACAACAACAACAATTTAATTTTTAATTTTAAAAAATAAAAAAAAAAGTACTTAAATAATTTTCCAAATTAAATATTTTTTAAATAATTGAATATATATATACCCTTTTGGAGCAACCATAATTACATCAATATCCTTTGGAGGTATGACGAGAGTATCATCCTTATATACGATAGAAAATCCATGGGAGAAATATAAAGTCTTCCCTTTTGTTAGATGTGGTTTAATTTGGGGCCAAAGTTGTTTTTGAGCAGCATCAGACAAAAGATTAAAAATAATTGTCCCTTTTTTCAATGCCTCTTCAATAGAAAAGAGTGACTTTCCAGGAATCTATTTTATAATTTTATATTGATTGATAAACGCGAAAATCGAAATGACGTACTATTACGTCAAACATTTCATATTGATATTTAATATATACCCAACCATCCTTCATGGCTTCGTTCCAACTCCTTCCTTCTCTGAGTCCAAGGATAACATTTAATCCATTATCGCGTGCATTTAAACCTTGTCCTCTTCCTTGTGGCCCATATCCAAGTATAGAAATTGTATCATCTTTAAAATAATTTTGATACTTTTCCTTTGGCCAATCTGATCGTTCATATACATTTTCTTTGGTTCCACTAAAGTCGAGCGTTTTTAATGTTCGAATTTGGTTTGGTTGATAGTGCTTTGGACCGTTTAAAAAGTTAAACTTTATTGTTGAAAATCAAATGATTAGTCAAAAAATAAAATATTTGTAAAATCAATTTTTTTAATGGTAAATACCTTAGCAATAGCAGCTTTTTGGACTGTAGAACTTGATAAAATTGAAAAGGCCCTTGCATTAACTATAACTTTCCTTTGTTGTTTTAAAAAAGTAGCAGCATTTGAATAGCGACCTAACGAACGAGATAAAAAGCGTGTAGAATTCATTTTGTTATAAACTATAAAATTTATAAAAAAATTTTTTTTTTTAAAAGAACGAAAAAATAATTTTATGAAAAAAAAAAAATCAGTTTTCTATCGGTAAATCATTTTTATTGAAGTTTCTAAATCGGATAATATTGTTATTCATGATGGTTGGTATGTTTTTCTTTATTGGATCTTAATTGGTATATTTTGGTCCTTAAATCTTTTTGACATTTTTTTAAAAAATTTTTTTTTTGGTGCGTGTAAAATTCTCGGATTAAGATCATCTAATTTGATCAGATCATGTGGATTTCCGGTTTTTAATCTAAGCCTCAACAACCTAAGCAAATGAAAAAAAAAAACCTTTTTGTTTGTTCTCATGTCGATCAAGTACCCATGTTAATCTAAATATAAAATAGTAAAATCGGAATAGTATTACCCTCGCCGAATCGGGTTGTGAATAATTATTACAAATATGTATATAAAAAAAAAGAAGATAGCTAGTTTTTTCATAAAATTTGGATATTAATTTTTGTCAAATTTAGTTTTTTGTGGATCATCCTTCAACCCGACCCGAATTTTCGAGTCGGGTACCGTATAGTGCAATCCCATGAAAATAACCTAAATCATGTGCCAGGGTACTAATTAAATATTATCCCGGGTCTTATTAAGTAGTATCAGAGGTATTATGTAAACGGAATAGATCCTACCTAGCATCACATCATTATCAAAAAAATCCTGTTTATAAATAATCTGATACACCTCGTCACTCTCGTTTTATTAATGACTTGATTTTTAGGGTGTGAAATCCTACTTGTCACTCGTTTTTTTTGTCACAGACGCCACTCTCAATTATGACGTGAAATTAGGCTGTAGTGTAAGTTAAGGTTGTGAAATATAAGAAAGTGATGTTTAAACATTTATATATAGGGAAGAGTATTACTTATTATTCAGCTGCTGCATTATATTTTATGTTGTTATTACATTTTTTTCTTGCACAGTTTGTTCCTTCATATTTTATGCCTTTATAAATTTTGTTTTGAAAAGATATGTTATCTCTTATTTTATGGAAATAGATATTTTATATTATTTTATTTTATTTTTTAAGGTATAAAAAGCTTATTAAACAATATTTTTTTTAAAAATATATATTGCTATTAAAATTAAATAAATACTTCACAGTAGGCTTACAATTTCTATTTTGAAATTATAAATAAAAAAAAAGCTTAAATAGTAGAATTTTTTATATAAAAATTTATCTTTTATTAGATATATAAAATAATAAAAGTTTAATAAAGCATAAAATACTAAGAAAAATATGATAATTTTTAAAATGATAAAATTTTGAGTATTATTATTTAATTAATTTTGTTCTTCTTTTTAAATACTAATTATTAAAAAATGAAGGATAATAAAGAATTAAATACTATTTTAAAAATATACTAATAAAATAGATTTATTATTAAACTTTTTTACTATTCTTTTTATTATAAAAAAGAACTTCATTGAAAAAATATTGTGAGTATTTTTTTAAGATAAATATTATATAAACAGTTTGTATATACCAATTTAAGTTAAAGATTTATATACTTACTTTGGATTAAGGATATCTAAGATTAAAATCCCAAAGATCATAATCCTGAAGTTATAATTCTGAAAAGTCAAAATCTTGAATGATCATAATTCAAAATAATCATAATTCTGAATAATTTATTTTTTAAAATTCAATATAATTATAGCATTATTAGCACATTCGATTTGTATCGTATGATATTATATATCAAATATTAAATTAATACATTGCTTAATATTAATAAATTTTTTTAATAATTTTTATCATTGTATCATTTTATATTTTAAAAGCATTAAAAAGAAATATAACTAATATAATTAAAAAAAATGCTAAAAAATTAAAAATTTATAAAGAAATCACAGGTCGAATAATGAAAAATCAGAATAGTACCAGTCAGTTAAGAATCAAAATCCTGATAAACCCATAACTTTTACACTATAAAAGACTGACTATTTTAAAGACATACTAGAGAATAATATACAATAAATTATATACCTTCCAGTATTCTGATAGTTATACAATATATATACGATTTTGCGATAATCTATTAAGAAGTATTAGCAAATTATCAATAATTTATTTAAATAACTGAAATTTTAATTCCAAAGAAAAATTCATATGAATTTTTCTTTATTAAAAACAGAAAAAAATAAAAATGTTGGTTCAATTAAAAGTTATGATTTAATTATTTATTTATTGTATTAATTATAAACATTACATGATGCAATATGACATATTAAATATGAACCTTTCTATATTAATCGGTATACCTGACATGTATTTCCTTTTGCCTATTATAAAAGAACCTTCAACAAATCGACTCAATATACTATACACTAAAATTATACAATCTCTACTAAGGTCATAAAATTTTTCTTCCATAGTTCAATATTGCAAGAATTGTTATTGCCATTGTTAACGTGTAATTCTTGCGAATTACAACTGTTAGACGGGGTGTTAGAGTGTTATTTTTTTTAATTGCATAGTAATCTTAAGGCTTTCACAAGTTTATTATCATGACTAATTCAAGTAAAGGTTTCAAATTAAGGTTTATACAAGTATTTTACAATTAACAATTCACAAGGTATCGAGTAATTATATTTTTAAGTAAGATGTTTATTGATAAGAATAGAAGTAGAAATAAAGAAAATAAAAGATATGACAAGAGAAAAGAAAAGAAAAGAAAAGAAAAGAAACGAAGTATGAAACTAAAATATAACACAATAGGCCTGTTTGCCTCTTAAAACTACTAAAAACTGACTTGTCAAATCCTACTTTTTAAATAGTCTAAAAAGCTATCTATTTATATAAAATACAGTATATAGGAAGATATAACTAATATGTCTAATATATTGTATATGTCAAATATGTCCGATATGTCATATATATCAAATCTGTCTAATTTATCTTATTTGTCAATCATATCAGATATATCATATATGTCTGACATGTCAGAAATGTCAGATTTGTTAGATTTGTCAGATTTGCCAATCATTTGTACCACGTAAGTCCTATCATATTTTATTCGTTTACATTACTCCCTGCTTAAGATTTCTGCTCCTGTAGAAATGTCAAGGGTTTTCAATAGAAGAGCTTGATATTCGCTAGACTTCAGTTGACGAACTATGGTCAAGGTTAAGTGTTAAGTAGTGAAGATTTGTTGGACTTCTAAATTTTCAAAAAGGTGATAAACTCAAATAACAGTTTGGTAATAATGTTTTGTGAGCGTCACCATTTGTAATGTCAGTTAAGCAGGAGAAGTACAGAGGGTGGACAAAAGTATCTGCATACTTTTTCACTCAATATAAAACTTCCAATAATTTTGCATTAACAATGAAAGGTTAATTAACATTTTATTTAAAGCTGATTAAGATCTAAATTTTGTACTAAGTAACTAGTACTTAGTTGGACCACTATTTGCCATAATCATGGCTTGAATTTGTTGTGGCATACTATCGACTAGGTTTTCGATAGTATGCTTCAGAATTTCTTTCCATGCCTTTTTAATATATTGGTCAAGAACAGCAAGATTAGATGGAGGTTTTTTATAAGCTCATATGGTTTTCTTGACTTCAGCCCAAAGATTCTCAATCGGATTAAGATCGGAACTTTGTGCTAGCCAAGATAATATACGAAGATTGCTTTCCGCTTGAAAAGACATTGCAACCTTTGATTTATGAGGCTGAGCATTATCTTCTTGAAACCAGCCATCATAATTTGGAAAAGATTTTCTCATGGCCGGAACAACATATTTACGAAGAATGATGACATGTGAATTACCAGTTGCTGTTCCAGACAATGGAACAATTGGCCCCATACTTTTTCTTGAAAAGCAGCCCCAGTACATTCGACTAGGGCTATGTTTTACTGTAGCTGTAACATAGGATAAAGTCCATTCATCCTTCGGTTCACGCCAAACCTTACTAGAGCGGCTTTGTTGAACTTGAGAGAATGTGGATTCATCACTCCACAAGACTTTCGACCAATCCGCTTTAGTTCAGCTTTGATGTTCTAAACACCATTCAAGACGCGTCTCAATATTTGCTGGTAAAATTAATGGTTTTTTTCTTGCAACACAATTTTTAATACAGCTGAATGGAGGGTTCATCTAACCGTCTTAGTCGAAACATCTTGCCCAGTCTTCTTCTTCCAAAGCTGTTGTATTCCAGCTGCACATAGACGACAATTTTTAGTTTTATCATTCGTTATGATTCGTTTAAGGCGATTTCATTGTGGGATTGGAATTAAAGGCTGACGTCCAGAATGATATATCGATTTGGTTGATCCGGTATTACGATATCGATTAATAGTGTTATGAACAGTTGACACTCCGCAGTCAACGGTATTAGCAATGGTCTGATAACTATTACCACATTGATAGCAATAAATTATGGCTCCGCGCTATTCTGCAGTTAATTCTTTAGTTTTTAACATTTTTTTTTTATTTAGAGTTTCGGAGAAGAAAATTTATTAAAAAAAAAATTAAATTGTTATTTTTTTATGTTTATAATATAAATAAACACTAACATGTCATATGATCGCAATTTGTTATTGCGGTCATATGACTTTTCTAGCATTAATTCGTCGTTTATAGAGGGTGTGCGGATACTTTTGTCCACCCTCTGTAAATCAGAAAACAAAGAAAATATAAAAGAAAATATTAAAGAAATGAAAATGAAAATGGAAATTGATTTATAAAAAAACTTAAATAATGATTTTGATTCTGATAATTTTTAGAAAGTATCTTTTGATGATGCTTTAAATTTTATCAAAGGAAAAAATAGATATGAATATATAGAAAAGTAATAAATAATGTATATTGTTGTTTATAGATGACAGCCACCATAGCCGGATTTATTTGCCGGTTAGGTTAGGATTAGAGTTAGGATTAGGGTTAGTATTAGGGTAAGGGCTTTAGGATTAGGATTAGGGTAAGGGGATTAGGGTAGGTTATTTATCATACGGCATCACGTCCTTCAATTTTATAATTATTCTGGGATTATTTGTCACACATTTATAGTGTATGTGAACCGCCAAAATAAATCCGGCTACCATTTAGATTCAGATCACGGGTCATTTAATCGTCAAAATTAATTACTGAAATTAGAAAATTCGCTATTTGGTACTTCAATTTCTTTTTATTTAATTTATGAAAGCAATTCTATTATTTATTTTATATGAATTTCGGGATTCACAGCTCAGGATTTTGGATTTCGAGATTTAGGCTGTCGAAACTTTGGGATTTCCAATCCCGTGCTACTATAGTTACTAACACCTTGGAAATATTGCAAAACATTCGGCGTGAATGGAACCTTCTTATTAATAAATTTTAAATAAATCGAGCAAATAGATTTGAACGATCTTTTTGTAAGATGCTCCGGAACTCTTCTGTCTGGAGTTTCTTGTAATTTTAGATCTACCCAAATTCTTGACTCAATAATATCATCAAAGCATTTCTGTGTTATTTCAGAATTAGGGCCATATACTTTAAGTATCCAAGAATAGAGATTTGAATGAACAGTTAATGATCTAATTTCTTTTGTTGTTTTAATCGATTCAGCATTAAATTTTAATCCAACTTTATAATGATCTAATGCACTTTTTAATGCTTCTTTAGGATTATCAATTCTTTGAATTAAAAATTCCAACAAATCCGTTTCCTTTAAATTCCTTTCGGGTTTAATTGCCTGAATAAGGCAGGAACTTGCAATCTCGGATTTAGATACGTTAAGAATTACTTGAAATGAAGCCATTAGAAGATCGCCAATTTCATTTAACTTATTTTCAAGTCTAAATATATGAAAATCTTCTTCAATAACGCAAGGAGTTAGTTGAAATCCGAGATTGATCAGTTGTGTTAAACGATCAACAATAGCATTTTCATCAGGATATTTCCAATTGTTTGGTGTATTAGAAGGAAAAAGCATATAAAATGCACGTGGCATAACATATTCATTGACATCGCTGCAGATTTCGTAATAGCCAATTTCCTTCCACAAATTTATCAATCCAGGATAAATTATTATTGCTCTAGCCACTACATTAAGTTGGCTTTTATTCTCATAACCATCTTTTGGTAGGTGTTCTTCATCAGCCCTAGCTTTCACTAATTGAAGATGTTCTACTGTATCTTCGTATTTAAGTTTTCTGCGTGGAGGAAATGGAACAAATTTCTTTTTCAAAATTAAATCTTTAATTTGATTAAGATTTCGATGAAGAATTTCAGGTGCGTGATTAATTACAAGAGGACCGCCTGTTAAGAAATGAAATAATTCCATATCATTCCCTTTAATTGCAAGTTCATTATCATTTAAAATAGTATAACCCTCAGTAATTAATTTGGTGAAAATCGACATAGAAATATTACTTCCCCAAGGGGAAGATAATTCCTTTTGAAGGGCATTATTATGTTCGACTTTAAGACTTATAAGATTTTCATCATAAGTGCCAAAATGCGTAAATAAACGTTGAATAAAATATTTTGAAAGTATCGCACCTTTTGAAAGTAAAGCCTGTATCACTTCGACTGTTATGAAGCCATTTCCGAGCCTTATAGCGTAGAATAAAGCATGCGCTCTACCATATTTATAAAGCAACCATTCGGCTTTGGCAAAAGGGTCTTGAGAAATGTTATGCCACTTACGGTTTGAACCTAAAAGGTTGATGGGTGTTGGTATATATTAATGCTTAATTCATCAGATATTGACTGCATTCTAAAATAAAATATCTATAATATCAAGTTCGAAAAGTATTATTTTTTTTATGTTGTTTTTAAATATATAATAAAAAATAACGAAAATTTTTTGGGTCGAAAAAAAAAAGGATCTGTCTGTTTAAATAATATCTTCTGTGAAACCCAATAGTCATTTTGTGTTACTTTAATATAATATGCGAGAAGGTTTTTATTTTTTTTTAAAAAAAATAAAAAATCCGCAGGACATGATGCGATGCACGTTAGATCTAAAATAGAAATTAATATTAAGATGAAGATAATGTAATAATATCAACGAAATTTATTGGACGAAGTTAGTTGATTTTGTGTAACATTTATCTTGGGAAAGAAATTCTCGCGATATTTTTTTCAAAGAAAAAGTTTGTTTACAATAAAAAGAGAAGTGAAGAAAGTTAGATAATAAATCACAAATATCTTTATTTTATTTATTAGTATATGGTATTTCATTCTTTATTAACTTGTATTAAATTAATAAAAAAGAGAATTTTCAAATTCGCGTTTAAAAAGAACAAAAAATATTAAAAAATAATACTCAAACTTATGATTATAAGAGTTATCGTGTTCTTCAAATGCTTTATTAAATTTATTTATTTAATATCTAATAAAAAGATAAATTTAGCTTTTCATTTTTTTGTAAGCCTTCAAATTAATGTCACACTAGCCTAGCCAAAATAAATCTAGAAAAAGGTTACAAGAAAGTCACGCCTCGTTATTAATTATTCTTTTCACATCAAGCTATGAATATTGCAAATGTTTTTGTAAAGATGTAACGTGCGTCTAATATATATTTATATATAAAAAAAAATTACTTGAAAATAATCTGTTGTATTATTCTTTGTATAGTAGGACCAATTTCATCAGATGAACGGAATCAGATCGGTTGAATAGGTATAATCTGATAAAATGTCAATCGATCTTCCAATATAATTTCCAAAATATTCTTAACAAGTATCATCACAAGAGAATCTTCGTCAATTGAAATATGGTATGTCTGATATAATCCTTTGTATACAAAAGGAAGATCCCTCAGTTGAGATTATACCATAGACGTAAATCATAATTGATTTTCGGCATGTACTTTCTTTTAAATGATTCTGCTCAGCTGAAATAAGAAGTATCGTGATAACGTGTTAGCAAAACTTTCCGACTTAAATGTCAATATAGGGATGCTTACTTCAAGCTTTGCAATGTATGATTTTACTATTCAGTTGATGATAAAAACTGATGCATGCAAATTGACGATATTGTATTCGCATCGCATTCATTATCAATCACCAGTCTCATGGTCTTGTTAACCTTCTTTTAATGTCTTCTACACAAAAACATAATAGAGTAAATAAATGGAATGGATTATTAATTAAGCCTTCCAATTTCACAAGTTTATCAGAAATATATATTAACCTGGTTCGAAATTTTGGTAAATCTATGCTCCATTGAGATTATGTGGTTGGTGTTAACACATCTCAGTTCTTCCCTGGTGTGGTACGATGAAATACTTCTATTTGTCCTGTCCCAAAGCGACTCGACCTCTTTAACAAGTCTCATGGCCGGTGCTAATGTCAAATCAGCTTCCTTTGGTCAGTCTTGTATTGCGTTTGAAAAATCTTTTTTTTTGTAATGAATTATGATCACGTTAATTTCCGTTTATCCGTTGGATCCCTAAGGACGGTGATAAATTGATTGATTTCACCAAATAAAAAAGTGTGAATTTTTAATGAATACATGACAAATCACTCAATTCAAATGTGACAATATATAATATATTTTTTTAAACATAATTTGTTTTTATTAGTAAAGTGATTTTTGTTTTTTTTTTTTTTCTGTAAATTTTTTTTTTTCTTTATAAAAAAAAAAAAAGCTTATATAAAGAAATATGAAATATTTATAAAGAAAATTATCTTGAAAATATATAAACAATAAAAAAATATATATATAACAATTATTAAAAGGGGGAAAAGCTATAATGATTTTTTTTTAAAAAAAAAAAATAAAAGAACTATACAAAAGCCCATATTACATTAAAAAATTATAAATTTTTTTTTTGATTATCCTTTCATATTTTTTTTTTTTGCTTATGCAAGTTAATAATAGTTGATATATATTACTTTTTTTTTAAAAAAAAAAAGATAAAAAAAAATAACGATTCCCAAAATTAAAAGGTTCCCCAACCTCCATAAACTCAATGTCGCGATAACTCTCAACGGATTGGTATAGTTGTAAAAAAGAAGGCGTTACGAGTTAATTCATAATTCGTTGAATAATTTTCATTTTTTTTTTTTTTTTTTTTTTTTTTTTAGAAAAGAAAAAAAATAACTCGCAACACCTCTCAATTAAAAAAAAAATTAAAAAAGATCCGTTTCACAGGATGCTAATCAATATGAATTAAATTAAATTACTATTGATTCTTCGCTATAAATCTAATAACGTGGAATAATAAAAAAATAATTTTTTTTCCACAAAACATAAAAAAAAAAATTGGTTGTGATTCGAAAATTAGTATGTCACCCTTTCGTGAACGACCGAGTTATTAATTATGGAGGAGGGGTTATTAAAAAAAGAAATAAAATAAAATAATTTTTTATTCACATGGGTTTGAACCTCATAAAGAGCATCCTTGAATAGTAACGATAATGTCAATATATTTTTGAAAAAGCAAAAAATTATTATCAGACGTAGAACTATCATGATGGCTCTTAGGAGGCTTATAACCATATTTTTCGTAAACAATAGAACATGGTTCTGAAAGAATAAGAAAGCGAGTTAGCAAAAATTATTTATTTCTATTCCTTACAAAAAAATTATCAAAAAAAAAATACATTACTTTTTTTGTCCATGATTTTTGAAAATGGTTTCCGTACTGTTCAACTTGCATTAAGCAACAAGTTTAAAACGGTTAAAAATAAGGATTTTCGCCGATAAAACATTTACAAGCTCTTGGTTTATTTAATAATAACAAGAACGTTAAGTGAAAGGAAATCATTGTAAATATGGGTGGACACCAAAATCATGCCAAAGTTTCAAAAAAAAACCAAATAGCTAGAATTTATATAATTTCTGAAACCTCTCCTTAAAAGCCACCACATTTATTCATGACGAATTCATGCAAGTAAATTTTTGTGGCCCAATAACGCATAACTTAAAAAAGGAACTCATTTGCTACAAACGCCAACAAGTCAAGGGGTTAACCGTCATGATATCAGATCAACCAGTTGGTAAATGAGTTGAATGAATGATAAGATCTTTGATTAGCTTTTTAAAGGAAAAGCCTCAGAAAAGGGCCCAAACTTGTAATTTGCACTTTTCGGTTAGTGATGAGCAAGCCACCATTACACGTGAAAAAGGTACGTTTTTTAACAAAATAAGTTTTTTTTTTTTAGTAAATATCTGATCGGAAGTCTCCGAAGTTTAATGTTATGATACAAATTATCCCATATTGCTAAAATTAGGTTAAATTAAATAACGTCTTCGATCTTTGGTTGTAGTATCGATTGAATATTTTCCTTATATTTTTCCACAAAAGTGGCAAAAGTATTACCATATAATAAATGTAATACTTCTGCTTTCGCGGTTTCAAACATGTCTAACCTATAATCTTCCGTGTTGATTTTTGCGGTAACATCTCGTATCGTTGAATCTATCACGTTAACTGCTAAATCCGCTGAAGGGACTAAAAATATGCGAAAAAATCTAAAGAAATATGGACGTAATATCTTTGGAATTTTCTCATTAGCTGGAGGTGGCTTACTTAAACATTTCACCAAATTATCATGAATTGATACTGTCACTGGTGATACATTCTTTTCTATCCCCGCTGAGAGTTGAACATCTCGTGGCATCATCTCATCTGTGAGTGAAGGTTCAGGATCAGAAACCTCCCAAAATGTACTATTTTGACATGTCGCTGCATTGTCGTTTAACAAAGGATTATCGATTTCGATTAATTCATGAGTTTGCGATTTATAATAATATCTAAGTACTGTTTTTTTTAGAAATTGATATTCTTCAATAAAAAGCATCAATTCCGCACAAAAAAATGACGCCGTACATATCTTATATTGTTCGAAAAGGTCATCATCTCCAAGGACTTGTGAAAATCTCATCATTCGTTCTTGTTCTCTACATTCATCCTTTGAATCATCATTTTTATCGTATGACCGTATAATCGGGATGAGGATCGTGATCACATGACTAGATACAAGGGCAGTTGGTAACCACATAAGAGGTCTCCAAATGGAATCTGCGGTCTGAAACACAGTAATCCACAAGATATAAAGTACAAGGGAGAAGATGAAGATGCAAATGTTTTTTAAAAAATCCCTTCGAAGTCCATAACTTTCTTCAATTGTTCTAAGAAAATAATACAAAATGAATGCACCTATAATGAACAATGAAATGTAGAGAGATAGAGGAATAAATGTATAATAAACATAAATATCATTACAATCTTTCTTTGTATTCTTAATGGAGAATTCATCAATAAAAATCTAAAAGGAAAAAGTGAGATTAGAACACTTTTTTTATTTTTTATTTTTTTAAAAAAATAAATAAATAACAAAATTTACACACCGTCATTCCCATTAATGCGATTACAACTATTCCGACAACAAAAAATAATCCATAACATAACACTTTATCAGTTGAATACTTCTTTTGCTTTCGATACCATTTCAAATGTTCCTTTACGGTAAAATTCTTATTTAAACGGTTTTCCTCATTATTTTGTTCCAACATTAAAGTAGGTTTTGTTCCCCAAGTTGCTTCTAACATCGCATAACTTAGTTGTGCTAAAAATATCAGACGTAATCCACGAATAAAAATTACTGCAAGGTATATTACAACTGATAAATAAATGTTCCATAATATAACGTAGCAAGGAAATGTATCTTTATAAAATCCATTATAAATCACCAAAACTGGACAAAATATTATGTTTGAAATCGCGAATGTGATTGATAAGCGCATTGAACGAGTCTCCATGTCTTTGATTTGTTTGCGACGATGATAGAATAAATATGTGGTAATCGTCAAGAAAAATGCGATCGAAACCCCAAGAAATATGTACAAAATTTGTAGCCATAATTTGGCCTTAGTATTTAAATTGAAGTCGTTATCTGAGAGAGAGAGTGAGAGAAAGAAAATGTAAGTCCATTTTTGCAAATTCAAAATATATATGAGGGTCAATTATACATAATTCTTACATGGCTCAAAAAGTGGAATTGACATGCTTAAGACAAAGAGCTACGTTGGTATCGAAAAAATAGATTCAATGCTACGAATTAATAAGGTAGAAGAAATGACTGAAAGGTTTCCAAACAATGAACCAAATAATTGATATACTCGGAGGTGTTTCCTGTTTTGTTACAGATCATCTACATTATTCCTCATGATTTTAAACGTTTTGTTTTAATTCACAAGTAAACCTTTCCCTAAACGGGACCTTTCATGTCACCCTTCAAATGGTGCTAAATCTCATTTACTGTCCCCAAATCTTATTTTTTTTTTTTTTTTTTTTTGAATTTCGGAACTTGCATTTAATTTAGAATTTTTTTTAATTTTCACAACAAAAATCAAAAACTATTATGCACCTCGCAGTAAAAACTTATTTATTTTATAATTTATTCCGTGCATAACTTATATGTATAAATAATTGTTGTTAGTTCGTCATTAAATTTTGATTTCTTAATGCATACACGTGGCTTTATATTCATACATGGTAGTATAACACTAATCTTATTGATGATATCTTTGATGTGCTTTTTTTTTTTTTTAGTTTTTTCCGAAAAATTTTCGTAAAATGGTGTTAACCATAGGACTTAAGGTTTCGGGTTCATGTTGATATGCAGTCTAAGAAATTTTAAGAAGGTTAATTAATATGATGGTGAAACATTTTTAAACAACAGCCAATCATTCTTTACCATGATTATGCCCATGGCCGCAGAAAAGAACCATACTTCTGCCGTTCGATGTAATTCAAATATCCAATTTTTCTGACACATGATCTTGTACCAGGATTCTGCAGCCTTTGGTAATACGTATAAAGCTAAATCTGCCCTTCGGTTTTTATGTTCGATGAAAATGGCGAGTGCTGAACTAAATCCGGCCCACCAATATAAATATTTAGAATCCCACGTTATATCGAAATATTTGACAATATTACGATGAAGGCATATGTGAGACTGGTAACTTGCTACGAAAGTAGCTAGAAAGGTGCTTGATCGTATTGTGTTGAAGGAACTTTTTTGAATAAGACCCATGGGCCTTAAAAAAAAAAAAATAAAATAAAATAAGAAAAATTAATAAGCAATTATAAAATTAGAATTATTGATAATGATGTATATATACTCTTTGGCAAGTTGTTTCAATTTGAATGCCACCATTGGGACGAAATTAAGCGTAGCGTATACTGGTGCAATTCTTCGAAAAACTTGATAAAATCGTTCAATGATTGTATATATACATGAATCAAACTTCGGATGTACAAGTTCGCTAAAGCAAAAAAGGTTTTTAACAAGAAATTAATTATGATATGATATGTTATTTGTACAGCAAATAAAAATGATGAAAAGACTTACCAAGGAATTGTAACAGGTCGAGGGGGTAAATTGTAGGCTACCTCAATGGCATTTTTCGTTCCTTTAAATGATTTAACAAGATCAATCGCGACTTCCTTATCCAAAGACAACCCTCGTCTCAAGTGTAGATTAATATCCAATGTTTTCTTTGGAACGCGTGCTGTAATTATCATAAAATTCAAAAAGTCTTTTGGTATTGTGGTAGGTCGCATCTATAAAATTTAATTCGTGTCGAGATTAATTTTTTAAAAAGTATAATTTTTTTAGATTCAAAAACAAACAACCAACCAACCAAACAAACATACCGTATACGCATAAAGAACCTGTGCAGTCGAAATGATAAAAAGTAAGGCATCTCCATGAGGGATTCGAAAATAATCACGCGCGTGGCCTGCATTGTAAAGGGCTTGCAACGCGCTGATTTGGAAAATAATCGACAAACCGAATTATTAAATCAATTGAAGAAGAGAAATTATAAAAGGTCAAAGAGACTAACCGAACAAATAACTGTTGCGCGATAGAGATTCGCCTCTCTCGTTTTTCCGCCATTATGGAAATGCCAGCAATGGAACCTATCAAATTTTCGCATGTCATTCTTACATTCTATTCGTCTTTATGAAAGCTCATAAAGATAAAATACCTGCAGCCAATCCATTCCAATGATCATCTTCCTTTCTGACATATCGCAACCCATTATTGATAAACTTCCATAAGAACGAAAATCCACCAAATGCTACACCAAATCGCACGGCGTCCGTTCCGAAAAATCCACGGATGAACGCCTTATATATCTTATATATAGATCCTTTCCTATCAAGAAAAGGCTTTACGTTACGCAAGCCATGCATTTTTATAACATTTCAAAAATAAACGTGACTACCTTTTCCGGAATACTGTTAATAAATTTAATAGGAAATTCACACCACCACGAATGCCATGTGCCATCACATATGATCCTATATTAAAAACAGCTTAATGAAAGCGATTTAAAAAAACCGTAACATTTAAATATCAAAATTGAACACATACTAAGTCCTCCTATAATGGCATGTAGAACAATGTCTTTAGGGGTATTTGGTTTATCAATGATAACCAATTGCCTCCGGGTACCTTTTTGATCTTTTTCATTATTAGCTAATAAAGATGTCTCATAAGCTGAATTTTCAACAAGCCTGATATTTACTTCATTTGAAGGAATTGCACTTATATGAATATTTTCTGTTTTTGACATTATAGACAAATTATAAAGATGTGGATTTAAAAAGTAAAAAAAAATCTCTATTTTGGGGAGGAAAAGCAAATAATCATTCCATTTTTATATAGGAAAATATCACCAATTAAATCGAAATAATTTCTAATAATACTGACGATAATAAATTGTACGACTTATCTTTTCCCGCTTTTTTAACATAGGTTACAAGGATTACATCTGATTTTAATGCAAACAAAACCAAAATTTGGGGTAGTATTTTTTTGGGGAAAATTTTTTTAAATTAAATTTGTTTCGAAGACTATTCGATGCTCAGTAGATCATTGACACGTCTTACCCACGTTGGAATATTCATTTCCTTTTTGAATCGTCAAATGTTTGTCAATAAAATTTATTTTTAAAAAACAATACTAAAACTTTTGAATATCTCTTCCCCAAAAAGAATAAAAATTTTTTTTTTTTATGTTATCCCCCAACAACTAGATTTGGTTGATGAGGTCATTTTGATTCACGGATATTTATAATTTCATTTTTACCAATAACTGGTTAGTAGGAATAATTTTAGATTTTGGGTAAATTATAATATTTTGTATTTTGGATTCAAGTTTTACCTTACACTTTTTTATCCTTAACTATCGAGTATTTTGTTTTTATCCTATAATCTAATTAAAATGATCTGATCTATCAAATGCCTATAACTTTTCTAGTTAAAATATTAAAAAATTATGATAAAAGGAAGGATTATAAAGTTTATTTTAAGCGAAAGATAATTATATTAAAAATATGAAAACCTTTGTAATAAAAGGGGGAAACTGTCGGAAAAAATATCGGCTTGAAAATCATATTAGAGTAAAATTGATTTTTCCCGGCAGTTTTCCCTCCTTATTGCAAATCTTCTTATACATTATATAAATCATTTAGATGCATAAAATAAAATCAACTTTAATTTCTTTTTTTATAAATATTTATAATATATATATATAATCATTAATATATAGGGTTGGTAAAAGTCCTAATTGGTCCTAATTGGTCCTGATTAATTTTAAAAAAATTATTAGTTTTAAAGATTAAATTTTTTTAAATATTATCATTATATTCAATTTTTTTTAAGTTTACTTATTAAAATAAGTTTAATTTTCTTTTTAAAATTTAAAATATCTTTAAAATTTTAGACCTAAGACCTAGATCCTAGGATCAGATCCTAAATTAAATATATTTATTATTTTTAAAGAATTTTTTTATTTTAAATTAATAAAATAATTGATATATGAAAAATGATCAGTAGAAAAGGGGAAAAATCCAAAATTTTTATTAATTTTAATTATTAAGCTAATTTTGTGCACATGACCAAGATCAGCCAAGTGGTCTAATAATATAAATTTTGATCAAATTTGGATTTCCCTATTTTCTACTGACCGCTTCCCATATAATAATTATTAAAAATATTAATTTATTATTAAAAAATTTAATTAATAGGATATAAATTAAAATTATCTTTAAATTCTTTAAGATCAATTAGGATTTATTAGAACTTTTATCAACTTTATTAATATATAACAAATTCATTTTTTAAAATTATATGATAATTATATATAAAGGATAATTAAAGTTGCTTGTCTAAATTCATTTTAAATTTTGCTAAATGTTTAAACCTTTAGTTCGCTAAATTTTTACTAAGGTTTGAATATAATTTTGTAATTTTATAAGCTTTGATATAATTTTACCTTTTGCTGAATTTTGCAGATTTTTTAATAAGATTTTAATATAATTTAATCAAGTTTTACCTTTATTATTTAAACTTTGACTAAACTTTAAATTTTATCCAATAACTTTAGAAATAATTAAAAGTTTTTTAAAATTATTTAATATCAATTATTTAATATTTAATAATTTAAGTTACATAAATAAAATATTAAAATTAAACTGAAGACTTAAATAAATAATAATATAATTAATCCTTTATACAACCATATTTTTTAGAATTAAAAAAATATTAATAATATAATTATAAAAAAAAGTTTAATGTATTTATTAGTAATTTAATTTAATTTAATATGTTTATAAAAAAGTATCTATATGATATAAATTATTTATATTATTAAATTAATAATTAATTAAAATTTTTATATATTTCTTAATTCAAAAATTTCAAATAACTTTGCTTTCTTATTTATAATAAATTATCTTCTGATTTATTTTTATAAATAATAAAATTTTATTTAAATTAATTTTATATATTTATATCTTTAAATTATATAATAAAATATTTAAAAACTAAAAATTTATAATTTTTAAAAAAAAATTTATATTAAAAAATTTTATAATTAATCTAATATATGGGAAGCAGTTAGTAAAAAAAAGGGAAATCCAAATTTTGGTCAAAATTTATATTATTAAAACACTTGGCTGATCTCGATCATATGCATAAAATTAGCTTAATAATTAAAATTAATAAAAATTTTGGATTTTCCTCTTTTCTACTGACCGTTTTCTATATAAAGTAAAATTTTAATTTTTTTTAGATTTCCTTTTTTTCTATTGACAAGTTTTTATATTGAATATGATTTTTTTAGTAAAATAAGCTCAGATTTAATTTTAACTTATAAAAACATTTTTTTTTAGATTTTCTTCTCCTTCTATTAATAAGCTCACATATATGAATACTTAAATTATTTTTAAACTTTTTAAAAACTTTAAAATATTTATTAATAAAATTGATAAAATATATTAAACTATATTTTTATATAATAATATTATTACTAAAATTAATATTTAATATTTTATATAATTAATATTTTTTTTTTAATTTTCCTGCTAATCCTGCTAAATAATTTAGAAAATAAATTTATATAAAAATTATATAAATTTATAAAATATATTATATAATTACATATATAAAAATAAAATTATATAAATTTACTTATACAATATTTTTTATATATATTAAAATTTAATTTAAATAAAATAACAATAATAATATATTAAATAATCCTTAATAATATTAATACTTTAATTAAATAAAATTATATAATTAATACTAAATAAATATTTATAAAATTATACTAACTATTATAATAAATTTAAAAAATCCTGAATAATATATATTAGATTACATGAAAATCAAAAATTTTTTTTATGATTAATAAGTAAATTATTTTTAATCTTATTAAACAAATTTTTATTATAATTATAAAAATTTAATATTGTTAAACAATTTACTTTATAACTTATAATTTTATTGAATTAATAAACAAAATTATAACTTTTCAATTATAAACTTCAAAATTAGTATTACAAGTATTAATATTGAAATTATTATATTATGATATTAGTAAAAAAAATTTTTAAATAAACTAATCAAATTTTAATAATAAATATCTTAAGAAAATATTAATTTTAAAATAATATTAATTAATAAATCAAATATTAAATTTAAAATATTAATAAACTATATAATCTATAGTATAATATATTTTCACATAAATATCTATTATTTTGCTAATCGTTTGCTTATCATTTTTATTTTTATTACAAAATATAAATACCTGTTATCTATTATTTTTTATACTAATTTACATATTTATAATATTATTAAATTTTGATAATAAAGTTATTTATTTTATTTTTATTCAAATTGAATTTATTATTAATCAATTTAATAGGTAATAATTTTTAATTTAATATAATTTTATACATTTTTTAAACTTATCTCTATCAAATTTATCAAAATAATTTACTGTTTCATAAGAATTATATTTGATTGATTTTTATTGATTAATTAAAAAATTATCTATTCAATAAAGTTAAGATTAATAATATAAATATTAAATAAACTTATAAAATAAAATAAATACTTTAAAATAAAATAAAATCTAATAATAAATAAATATTCAATCAACTCTAATCTTTATTATTAACATAGCTTAAATAGTTTTAATATTTCCTCTAATTTTCTATTTATATCTTTATCTATCAACATTACTTATTTGTAAATCTATCTGTACTTCCAAATCTTTACTATCTTTATCAATATTATTATCAAATATTATATTTAAAATATCTTGATGATATTTAATACCATTACTGAAATATTTGTAACAATATTACCATTTTTGATTTATTTAAATAAAATATTTTATTTGATATATGATAAAATACTATTTGATAGTTGTAATGATAAAGTATATATATTTCAATCATATAATTTATTTAATCGTGAATAGCTCTAACTTATTAGAAAAATCTTTTCATCTGTAATTTTTTAAAAATTAATAAATTATATTACCAATATCTTCTAACTGTTTTATAATATAAAAAATATTATAATTATTTGAAAATATTTCATTAAAAAAATTTTTACGATCAATAATTTTAGCTTGATTAATAATTTGTTAAATATTATTAAAATTATTTATTTAGTATTTAATAAAACTATAAAATTTTCTATATAATAATCATTAAAAATATAAAGAAAAATTTTAAGAGTTTCTACTATACATGAAGTCGAAATGGATCATTTCGGATATCCGAAATGGTCGAAATGGTCAAAATCATTTCGACCATTGAAGGCTAAA